TTTGTCTATCCTTCCTTTTTTCCTTTCTTTCTCCCTCTCATTTTTTTATTATTTATTTTCTTGCTTGCCCTTTCTATGAATGAAAGGAATTCATAAAACCCATCTTTCCTGGAGATGCGGTCGGCACGGCCGTTTGCAATCGGTTTTTAGCCCTAACTAGGGACTGGAGTCCCGTGCTGAGCCCTGGGGGACCCTGAACAAAGCTCGGGGTCGCAGGTGTGCACCCAGTGGGGGAGAGGGGCACAGGCATAAATACAGCATGGGGACCCAGCACCAGCTTGGGTCTTCGAGCACAAGATGCTGGTGTCTCTTGCTCCTGGCCAGCAACCCAGCCTATCCAGTGCCAGGGCCTGGGAGTGGTTTAACAAACACAGAGGACTGAATTCCTAACTCGAGGCACAGAAAAATAACAGCAGTAAAGAGATGAAGGAGCAAGTGAGGGGGCAGGCGGGGCGTGGGCCGTGGACGGGACTCCACCAGGATCGCTCCTGCAGGGGCCACCGTGGCGGTACCTTGGAAGTGAGGGGGATTCCAAGGCAAAGCTGTGAGAAGAGGAGGAGGCCAGGAGGATAAAAAAAGAGATGTGGAGACCAAATGTCAGCTAGCAGAGCCTTGAATCACCTGAGAGTGGATAAGGGGAGACAGACTGAGTTGTTTCACACACTGAAAAATACGTATGGTGGAAACAAACAAACAAAACCACCCCATGATCCACACAAAATTACTGCAGTTATTATTTTAACAGAGCTCCAAGATTAATAGTTTTGAATGCCTCTGGTCACTAAAGGGAACATTATTGAAAAGAACACCAGTGAAATCTCCTTGCAGATACCAAAAGTAAGTAAATGAAAATAAAATTTTTAAATCTCCTTGCAGAAGACTTAATTACTCCCAGCCCCCCTTTCTTTTTTGCAATACCAAGAACTGAACCCAAGGCCTTCGCATTGCAGCTTTCTTTTTTATTTTTTAACTTGAGACAAGGTCATTATGTCACTAAGTTCCCCAGGGGGGACTTGAACTTGTGGTCCCCTGCCCAGCACTCTAGGTGGTGTGCACCGCCAAACCTGGCTTGCTCAGGCCCTTTCTGAAGAATCCTGCTACGTGGAAAGAATGCAGGGAGAGACGTCACAAACTCTCAGCTCTGTAGTCACCCAGAACAGTTCCTTCATATTACAGCATAGGAAACTGAGGCACTGAGATGCTCCTAAGGATAAACTGCAGCTGAGGGCTCACACTGGGCCTAGAAACCAAACACCCCAATTCCTATGCTTCAGATTAACTTTAGATCACAGATGTGTGCTTTGTAGGACACCAAAACCCTGGCTAAGCCACAGTCCTTAGTGTAATGCTGCCAAATGTATATGGCTTGGAACTTGACTTTACTATTTTAAATAATTACTGAGCCATTAAGAGTTACTTTAAGAAACAATTGTTTCTATCATGGTTGGTCACTGTAAGGAAAGCCAGTGAAGTCTTCTCACCAGTTGTGTGACCCTTACCCACATTCTTCTGTGCCTGTAATTGTGAAGCCCACCAAATCTGCTTGCTGTACAAAACCTTCCTGCTCAAGGGGCATTCAGCTTTGTGAATGGGAGACCTTGTGAATGGGAAACTCAGTGAATGGGAAACCTTGCACAGACAGGAGACAGACCAGAGAGCACAGGGTCAAAGGCCAGATCCCGAGAATAACAACAGGGCCTTACCTCCCTCATTCCCTTTAGTGCCTTACAAACCCTTACGCTGTATGAGAGCTGCTTTTGGTGCTTCAGAGCCAACCGCTCCTCTCAGGTCTTTGTCATCAATAAAGCCTGTCCTTACTGCAAGTGTTTCTTTCTCCTTTTATTTCTTCCAGTCACATTTATTTATCTGCCGCAAAGTCTTTGGTCAGGGATGAAATCCCCAATCAAACATGTCCTGGAAAATTTACTCCACTTTATAAATACGGTCCTAGGAACACATTTAAAAAAACAACAAAAAAAGGAGGGGGGATGACCTCTAGTGAATAAATATCAAATAAAGAGGATAAACCAGGTGTGGCAGTGCACACTTGTAATCCCAGCACACGGGAGGCTAAGCAGGAGGAAGGCAGCAAGTTCAAGGCCATCCTCAACACACAGTGAATTCAAGGTCAGTCTGAACTGAACAGGGGACCTTGTCAAATAAATAAACAGACAGATAGTATAAATGTGAGCGCACCACAGGTGTGGTGTTTGGTGGAGGGGTGAGGTTGAGGAGTGGCTGGAGACAGCACTGAGGTCCTGCTGTGCCTCTGAGGCTCGGGCTGGGTTGGCAGAAACACAGAGGCACCCAGGCAGGCAATGATGATCGGGAGGGAAGGAGTGGGGCTGGACCGGACCGGCCAGGGGAGCTGAGGGTTTGGCCGCGGGTGGGACAAGGCAGGGAGTGCTCTGCACATCCTTTGGCAGAATCTAAAGACACTGGTATGAGACAGGGTGCAGGCAAAATCAAAGCGCGACTCCTCTTCTGCAGGAGCCCTGTGGCCTGCAGCCATCGTGGGGGCGATCTGGGGTGAGAAGCTTTTTCTCCTGAGCCCTCAACTTCAAGGGCACACGTGCTGACCAGTTTGCCAGCCTCTCTGGGGGGCTGCTGGGCCCCTGGGCAGTGCTATCTAGAACACAGGCAATCCAGGCAGGTTCAGCCTCATATTTTCAGGAGTGCGGTGGGGTCTAGATCACAGAGGAGATGTAAGACAAGAAAACAGCATTTCCACCAGGGTCCGGAGAAAGCAGCAGTGTCAGAGAATACAAAAGCAGATCTCAGAAGCGCAAAGGTGTTTGCAATGGCTTCAGGCACTGAGGTCAGAGGGCAGAGGTTTCTGCAGGAGACCAGCATCTCTGTGGGTCTCAAACAGCTGTGGGCTTTTGATGAGGGCTCATGGGGATCTCAGCGGAGGCTGGGAGTCCCCCCCATAGGACCCCAGCAGCAAGCAGATTTCTCTGGGACCCACATTTGCACAGGTGGCTCTGGCCTTTCCAGGCCCCTCTAGAATGAGCACAGCTAGCCTAGCCCAGGACGGAGGCTTTGGATGGCCCGACAGCAGGAAGGCCTTGGAGTCCGTCCTTCCCGGGGGGTGAAGGGATGGGCAGGGCCCGTGCAGCATGGAGGATGACGCAACTCACCACATCCTTCCTGTCCAGCACCTCCAGGATGCTGCTGAGGAGCTGAGAGCTGGCCTCGTGGTCGGGCTTGCTCGAGTGGTCGTCCAGCTGGCCGCTGAGCTGGTCCGTCAGCAGGGGCAGCAGCACCTCTCTGCACTCTGCAGAGGAGACAGCGGCTCACACCCATAACTATGGCGCCCCTCCACTCCCAGGAGCCTGCCCTGTGAGGGGGCCTCTCCGGCCATGAGGGGCACGTGGATTCAGGCATGGAGCTTGAACCTCCTCCCTGGTGTACACACACTAAGAAATACCTTTCCTGCCAATCAGTGTCAGCACTTAGTACAATGTTAATTAAAAACAATTTTTTTTTGCATTGCTGGGTACCAAACCCAGGGCCTTTAACATGGGTGGCTGGCACTTTGGTCCCAGCCCTAACAATGTGGAAATTATCAATTTCTCCAGCTTTAAAAAAAATTTTTTTTTTTTTTGCTTCTTGGGATTAAACCCAGGGCCTCTCACATGCTACCAGTGAGCCACACTGCAGTTCCTCTCTTGCTTTTTAAAATGACAACTTGATGTGTGAATATTAAGCCTTCTGACACCAAGAGCTAAGCAAGTCGCACACTTTCGAATGTTTTTTTCTACCTGATGGGGAAAACTGACTCATTCCTATGAACATAGAGCTTCCCCAGGCCATTTCCCTGGTCATGCTTTTGCAGGCGTGGGGCTTCCCTAGTATACTGTGTCTTCCTCCTGGGCTCTGAGTGAGCATCACACATTGTTAGGATGAGTCCAGGTTCTCTGGACAGTACAGAAGTGCCTTGCCTGTTAACTGCGATCCTGCCTCCTCTAATTGGAATTACCTGCACTAGTCATGGTGATGCACTCCTGTAATCTTAGCACCCCAGGAGGCTGAGGCAGGAGGATCGCACGTTCAAGCCCTGCCTGGGAAACTTGGTGACTGAGCAAGATTCTGTCTTAAATAAATGTGGGAGCTGGGGGGAGCTGGGGATGTAGTTAGCAAAGGCCCTGGGCTCAATCCCTAGTACCGTAAAACAAACAAACAAAAAGTTACTGTCTAGTGTGTACCTGCTTTTGCCTGCAAACAACCCACCTCTCTGGTTGCCACTGTCTTCTCTGCTTGCGTAGAAGCAGAGTTTATCCTGCATATCAAGTTGTTTAATAATCATTTTCCCCTGCAACAGCACCCACTAGCTTAGTTAGCATTACCTTCAACTATGTCCTAGGAACAGTTGAAATTTTAAGTGCACATTAATAGGGTGAGAACATGGAGAACCAAACAAAGGCTACTGATATCACCTTCCTTGTGTAGAAAAAGAAGCTGAGACTTACAGCAGGTCCCACATTTGTGCACGGCTGCACAACTCACCAAGGGCGAGGCTGGGAGGGCTCTCCCACCTGCAACAGTCTTCGAGGAGGCTTGGGGCACACATCCAGCAGGAGGACCCCCTCTGGAATGCTTGACCTGGCTATGGGAGCTTCAAAAAATGCCCTTACATCGCCTCAATCTAGTGAGTGAGTTTATGAGGAAGGAGCAAGTACTGGATCTCCTCCTCGCATCAGCGCACTGATTTAGAGTCAGTGGCTACAGGCTCTGTGCTGTTTACAAAAAGAAACCTTATTGCAGTATCAGCATGAGAGTGAGGAGTAAGATTTTTTTTCTCTTTCATGGACTCTCACAGTGGAATACTGGTACAGTGGACCCTTGACTTATGAACTCAATTTGTTCCTGAGGGCTGGTTGTAATCCAAGTTGGTCAACTGAAGGCTCAGCTCCTCTACACAGCCATCAAAGTCTCTCTCCTGTACAAAGGCAGATCTGTGTCCTTAGAGAGAGACCGTGGTCCAGGATTTCTCAGTTAACCCCACACAGGAAAGGATATTGTCATGTTCTTTCCAGAACTTTTGAAGGGTTAAATCTGGATCTGAGACCATCTGGAATACTGTAAGTTAAAACTAAAATTCCAGTCGTAATCCAAGTTGTTCATATGTCAGGCCAGTCATAACTCAAGGGCCCACTGTAATCTGGCTTCCTTCATCCTCTTAAAAAAAATCCCCGATGGGGGCTGGGGATTTAGCTCAGTGGTTCTGCCGCCTGCCTCACAAGCGCAAGGTCCTGAGTTTGATCCCCGGTACCAAAAAATAAATAAATAAATAAAATAAAATCCCGATGGATAGCACTGGCCAATTCCCATGTAAATACATCCATGTGACATCACTGAACACAGACCCATGAAGAGAAGCCGGAGTCAGCTTCCTGAGCTGCACACCTTGCCTGCCTGGCACCTGGCTGGCGAGTTTATGTACCACGTGTAGGTCAAGGAAAATAAATCTGTTTAAAAGAGTTATCTTTCTTACTTACTTGTCACTTCTTGGGAGTTCCTCCTTGGAGGACAAAGTTCTCCAACGAATGAACCACCTGCTGGTTACTCTAATTCAAATTTAAACACAGGACTCTGCTCTTTTAGGGACTAGAGACACCATCCTGACTCTGGCTTCTGAAAACTGGTGTCTCCGAGGTCCCCAGGTCCTAACCACCTGTCAAGGCCATTACTGACTTAAAACAAAGCAGGCCAGGAGTGCTGACTGCTGTAGATCTAGGCCCGGCTTTCCAGGAAGCGGCCCTTCTTGGTGGACACTCACCCGACTGCTGGAAAAGGCTGCTCTCCACTATCTTGGTCATGCAGTTGAGCTTCTGCCGGACTAACTGGTTGTCTGGGATGCTCTGAATGAACTTGCAGAAGAGCACACTGGAAGAGAAATCCCAGGGTTGGCCATCTCATTCTGCCAAGCCAAAGGCGTTCTTACAGATATTTCTCCTCCACTCTGGGCTCTGGGAGTGGAGAAGTTCACCTGGAAAACTCTGAAATGGCCCAGGGCTGAGAATATCCTTAGGGCCCACAGGCCTGCCCCGCCCCCCCACACCCCGAGGGAAGGCACACCCACACCCACATCCACCCGGCCTTCCAGGCCTGCCCAATGCTCAGCTTCTGGAAGAGGCCTTTTCCAGCCAACTCCACTCCAGCGTTGGCTGCAGCCTGACTTTGCATTCCTGGCGACTCCGGTATAGGGCTGGAAGCGTGTGATTATGTACTTTCCTTTGGAGTTAATTCTATGTCTGCAATGTCTTGTTTCCCCAGAGAAAGTGCAAACCTCCCTCAAGGACAGGCTTTGTGTGTTCCTTCGTATCTTCCACAGAACTCAGCACAAAAAGGAGTTGGTTTAACACTTGCTAGGATGGCATCAGCAAGTCCCAGGCCACTAGCAAGCAAGGCTCTGTCAGAGTTGGAAACAAACAGTTTTGTGCCGTTTACCTGAGCTCAGTGGGATCAAACACAAGTTTGACATCATTAATTATGCCAGGAAGATACTTCAAAGCCGCCCCCTGTAAGAAAAACACCAAAGGCAAATTCAATTGCCAAGCAAGACGAATACAGAACTTGGTGCTTGATCCCAGGAAGAAAAAGTTGGACTTCAATGCTGAATGGGGAACTGGACACAGATGCCCTCATGGTGAAGCGGAAAGCTGATGGTGCTAAACACGACCTCCCAAAACCTGTCTCCTGAAAGTGCAGGAGACACAGCCCCGTGTCTTCCCTATAAGCAGGAGTTATCATTTCTGTAATCCCATATTTCCTATTCATTTGGAATTATTTTTCTAAAGAGGTAGTTAAATTCCTAAAGTCTCCCTCGTATAGTTACATAAAGAACAACGAATATACGATAAAGTTCAAACTGGAGTCTCTGGGGATGATGAATTTCACATCTTAACAAAATGGCTGCTGACAAAGATACTGGTAACTTTGCACTTCTGGGAAAAATGAGACAAATCAAAAATAGAAAATTATCACTGTGCCAGCATGAGGATCAGCAGGTGGAATCAGGAGCCCCATGGTGGTTATGATAGCTGTCAAGTGACATCTAAACAGGTTGCTTATCTGTGGCAAACAGCCGCTGAAAATACAACTGTACCTAGAAGTTAAAATGTGGGTTTCTTTCTTTACTTGCTATGTAGTCCTACTAAGACTCACAAGCTCTCCAAGAAGCATGATTCACTTTGTTCCTCTCCGACCTTGGCCAGTCAGCTCTAAGTTCCTCAGAACATTTCTGCCACAGCCTTAACAGAGTTACCCATGAGGACACCAAGCTGACCTTGATCTTCACAGCTTCCTCCAGAGGCCTGTCCATCAGCATATTGAAGGAGAGAAATAACTGGCGGATCGAGTTATTAAATTCATCCCCATCTTCGCTCTGGCCATAAAATCTTAAAAGCAAACAGAGAAAAGTAGTCAGAGTCTCCCATCTTTAAAAGGAAACTTAAAATAGATTAGTGGCCTAAAAAACAAACAAACCACCACCACCACCACCAACATAGAGGTCAATGCCTCCCTGGTCACTGCCTTACCTGGTGTGGAAAGATGTTTCATGGGGCATCCTAAGGTGGTTTGGAAGGAACCAGAACCCACCTCAATAGATTTAAAGGATACACTTCTTAGACAAAAGCAGGGCAGAAATGTAAGCAAGGCCCTAACACAGGGCTCTTCAGTTGGTCAGCGAAGGTCAGACACTGGTAAGGACTCCCCGGAAGTGGTTTGGGAAGCCCTGAGGAGGGGGATGCTTTCCATCCCAGTGGCTTATGGGAATTTCTGGGAGGAGTGAGAACATCAGAAAGTCACATTGCCTGACTCCATAGGCGAGCTCTGCACGCCCATCCTGTCAGCTCATTAGCAGAAGGTCCAGTGTGTAAGGGGCTCCCCTGCAAATGTCCCTGACACACCACGCCCACCACCTTCTCTCGTCCACATCCCTCCTTCCTGCCTTCCTTCCCCCTCCACAGCCTCACCTGAGTTATTCTGCAATGAATGACTTCAGAGTGTGCACACCTGTAATCCTAGCATTCTAGGAGGCTGAGGCAGGAGGATCACAAATTTGGGCCTGCCAGGGCAATTTAGTGACTTAGCAAGACCCTGTCTCACCTAATCAAGCCTTGATCATATGAGCTGAGGTTTCAACAGTGGGTACAGGAGCCCTTCAACCCAGAAAGGGTCCTAACCCACTCGACCTGCATCATCCTCGTCAGCATCCACTCTGTCCACTGCTGCTGATCTCTTCTACCACAGGGCCTTCAACTGCACTCACACGGACTCGCTCTGATTAAAGTACCCTATTTTTCTTCAGAATATGTGCCCATGAACTCAACCCAGAAGTTGATTGTTTTCCCAAGAAGAGACCAAAAAGGCTTTGGCCAAACTGCTGAAACAGTAAAGTCTCAAACAGTATTGCATACGCTTACACACTGCCTAGCAACTTCAACACCAAACAGTCAGGAAGAGAGAGAATGAAGTCAGAGGTTTATGCGCGCGTGCACACACACACACACACACGCGTGTGCGCACCTAAGTAAAGTTAAATTAGTACCCTCCATTTACCTACACAGCATGAACACCCCCAATCTGAAAATCCAAAATCCAAAGTGCTCTAAAATCCAAACCTTTTTGAGCACCGACATGATACCACAAGAGGAAAATTCCACACCTGACTTCCTGTGACAGCCCCAGTCAAAACAAAGTCATGCTAAAAACACTGTGTAAAATACCTTCAGGCTCTGTGCCTAAGATGTGTATGAAATAGAAATCCCTCTTGTGTTCAGACTTGGATCTCGTGCCCAAGATATCTCATTATATATACGCAAATATTCCAAAATCCAAAATAATCTGAAATCTAAAAATGCTTCTGGTCCTAAGCATTTTGGATAAGGGTTATACAACTTGCACCTTTTATAGTAACCACAGACTGTAAATTCCCCTAAGGAAATTATTACATCAGAAGGTGACTAGTAATTCTCAAGTCACCCACTTGCCAGAACTGAAAAGAACTTTATTTGGAAGTTACCTCTTTGAGTATTTCAAAATGTACCTGAAAGAAAACTCATTTGATGCCCTGCTATGCACTTAGTGTTCCAAGTTTCACCAAACGGCACCTCTTCCACCCCAACCCTGAGGTTGCCTGTGGTCCCTGCCTTTCCCTCGCTGCCTCCATCAAGTCCCAGAGCAAGTCCCATCGGCTCCTCCTCCCAGGTCAGTCATTCTCTCCATCATACCTCAGGCAGAGCCACCGTGTCCACACTTGAACTGCAACAGCTCATGAAGTGGCCACTGGCTTTCACTCTAAGCTTTCCACAATCCCTTTTCCACTCTGCTGATGCACAAAGATGTCCCAGGGACCTTCTCCACAGGGCCCATAATCCATCATCATCCTCAGCACTGAAGTTATGAAATTTGGCAAATCCATGACCAACTGCTCAGAGAGCTGAACGCAAGCATGAGGAGTGAGGGAAACTACGTGGAGGGCAGTGATGGGGCAAACCACGGTGACCATTACCTCAGGTACAGCACTCGAGACTGGATGATGAACCTGAACAAATACTTCAAGGCTTTCAAAGCGGCAAAAAGCAATTCTGTCTTGCTGGAGTCTTCTGCATTAGCCACGTAAAAGTTCAGAACCTTGGAGAGTTTCCTAAAAAACAGAAAGAAGAATCAAGCCAATGGGCAACATGGTACCCGGAGGCAGCAGTATGCTGTATACCCCAGGAAGTGGGAGTTACAGCTCTCACTACATCCTTTAGACAATGCCCTCAACAGGCAAGCTAACTCTCCCGCAGTTTAGTTTCCTCATCCGCGGTGTAAGTTTGGAAGCTGCCTTCTGCTTACAAATGGTGGAAAGATTCTTCCTTAGAAATAAGGATCAAGCAATGAAAGAGTTGAAAGCATTTAAAGTATGAGGATAATTTCATCTCTGGCACCTAAGACACACATCTCTAAATGCTCCTGGAAGGAGAGATGATGACAGCCCAAGGGAATCACCTTAAAATCTAATTCTCTCCACTGTCCCCCGACTCTTTGGGATCCATAAATAGAGCGCCAGGCAGGAAATTCACTGACTGTGGGGAGCAGAGCTCAATCCGACTCTCCAGAACACCGTGGCTCTGAACACGTCTACAGAGAGAACCCTTCTGGATTTTACATTGTACTTCGTGTCTTTGCAGTCTCTGGACTAGGGCCAATCTTGATCTTATGCTAACTCAGAACTTTGAAGGCTTGGACATTCTGAATTTTCCTTCCTTTTCTAGAATTAGCACAGAATCCAGAGGAAACATATGGAAATAATTAAGTGCTGTAGATAAACCGAGACTGTTACTAGTTGGGGGGTCCTGTTTGGCTTAGTGTAGCTCGGATCCACAGCTAATAGGATTTAACTTGTAGTTGCTGCCAACTGGGAAAGAGAGACTGCTGGCTAGGAAGATCCCTATGGCTGCTGTAGTGCCACCTCCCCAGCCGAGGGGGCATCATGGCCATTGCATCAGCTGGTGCCTGTGCTTCGTGACACCTCCTTTATGTAACCGTGTTTCTGTACCGTCATGCTTGTTTAGTTTAGGGAAGAACACCAAGGATCAACGACCTGACCTGACACAGCAGCCAGCAGCAATCAGCATAAATCATTGTCCAGAAGATTGTTTACCAACCCTAGCTACGTTCCTGTCAGTATTTATTGCACTGCTCTGTACCATGACTGCAGTGGGTGACAGGCCACCTGCACCACGGGGACCTGAGCGCTCTGGGGAGAAACACAGTGAACATCAGTTGCTCTCTTTATTCAGGGTTTCACAAACCAAACGCAGAAAGAAGACCACACTATGAGAAATGTAGAAACCACTTCCTTTTGTGCAAAAGAAAGAAGAATCAAATCTTACATCCCGAGAGTAATCGATTCCATATAGCACTAGTGGAGTGGGGTTGAGGACGGGCCTGTTCTTCTGTTAGACTTGGTCTTGCTTAATTCATTGTTTGATGAGATGGTACACGTCCATCTCACTGACATCCAACTCCTAAGGTCTTGAATTTGGCCATCTCTCCTTGCTCTGCTTCTAACTGGCTTCGACCACTACCTTTCTGGATTATTAGAGATACCGGCTTATGTAGAAGGAAGGGTCTGAACCAGGCACCTCTTTCAGGGTCTACTAGAATACTTAGCAGGTTCTGCACTCAAAGCCATCTTACTGAATTCAGGTTCCTTGCATTTTCCAAAACTCCAGCCTCGGAGCACAAATTCAACCATCCAACCACACGGATGTCCCTTGAGTCATACTTACACATATGCTAAAGTGGCACTGAAGTGCTTGTAAATGTAGGTTTCAAGTACAGGATTAAAATGCTGGAACTTGATGTCTCCTATCAGTGAAATGATGAATACCTGCCAAAGCACAAAAACAGCAGTGGCAGTACTGTACAATCCCAGGCATTCTGTCAACAAGCTGCATGGTGATCTCTTGGTGCTCTCTTTTCTATCTTGATCATTCCAGCAACATTCCTATTCTACGAGCCCAGCGCTGAAGCCAAGTCTTGTGGTTTTTTATTTAATTAACACAGAAGCAGGAAATAGTTACATTCCAGGCACTGCATTATATGGTCTAAATAAGTGGCGGTGAATCTATGGCATGCGTGCCACAGCAGGCTGTTTGTATCACTGAAAGCTCTAAAAGGTTCTCCATCACTGGTATAAATGAACCAACACAAACCAGCATCACTGGCCTCAGGGAGCCATTGTGTCAAAAGGAGCAAAGACTTGCATGGGTAACTTATGTCTGGGATCAAAAAAGCCCCGCAGGAAGGAAGATATGGAAACGGCTTGTCTGTGGGAATAATACTATCTAACCCATGGACACGCTATTGAAATAATCCGTGACATTTTTACCTGAGTACAGTGCTCGGGTCCCCCACAGCCCAAACTTCACCAGAGTGCTGTCTCCCGACTCTCCCCTCGTATGTTACCTCTTAGGGCTGTGAGGCACACAATCTACAAATAACCGCACTGCACCTACATGACAGAGGTGTGCAAAGGGAAAGGCACTGGGGACTTGCACATGTGCCCATGGCCAACTGCTCTGTCCCCCGGGTTTGATCTCCAGACCACTGGCCACGATCTTCTTTCCCAGAAACCTGTCCCTGACCTTCCCTCTCCCTGGCTAACATCCTTGGCTTTAATGCCTTTCTGATCACAGATACCTCCTAGGTTTCGACTTGACAATGGTAAAGTGAGTTAAAATGTTTCCCGCTTTCTGACTTAATTAAACCCTTTGTTTTCCCTAAGGAGAAAGTAGAAGCATGCTGAAAAGTGAGATCTAACAGAAAACAAAGAAATAAAGGCCTGCAAAAGAAATTATTAGTTTGTTATTTTGCTTCTGGAAATTTAGCCTAAAGAAATCGTGATGATGTATACAAATATGTATGTAGGAGCAGATTCATGGCAACTGCTTATAACAGGAGATATCTACATAGTTGCGAGAATAAATACTAGGTAATACATTTCATTGCTTACCAATGCATCAAACACAAGGAAGTCGTACATCTCACTGTCTGACATTTCCATCATAATGTTAAAAAGTGCATCTAATGTATCTTGCAAAAACTGAAGATAAGAAAGATTGAGAGGTTATTTTAGTGGACTCATTCAGCTCCACGTTGTAGAAATTTGGGGACAATTAGATTTCAACAGAATAGGCTTAAAAAGAGCATTTTCTAGGGGCTGGGGATTTAGCTCAGTGGCACAGCACCTGCCTGGCAAGCGTGAGGTCCCAAGTTTGATCCCCGGTACCCACTGCCCCCCCAAAAAAACAAAAACGAAGGCACAAAAAGAGCTTTTTCTTAAATAGCAGCACACTTGCTTTAGCCATATAGATAAGTCTTATAGTGACAACGACTGGTTTAATAGGCTGAACTAATTACACGGTAGGAATATTCCTAGATACAGAGATAAAAACATACCTTAACGATCTCTCCTCCATCCACCTCCATTAACTTCTTTAGGTTGTGTTTAATGTTCTGGGAGTTGGAACGCCAATTTAACAACCCTAACAGGTCAACTAGGAAGAAGGATGACAAGACACAAATGTCAGAAGGAGCAATCCAGACCATTTCAGGACATACCTACCAAAGTCTTCAGTAAAGACACCTGCTTGAGACAGCAGCTCATTCAAGAAATGGCCTCTCTGTTCTTTGTCTTATCCACATCAGTGTAGAATGTCCTTTCTCATTCTCCAAAGAGAAAAAAATTAACTGCTAATAGCAGCTTTTTTTTTTCTTTCGGTACCAGGGATCGAACTCAGGACCTTGTGCTTACAAGTCAGGCGGCAGAACCACTGAGCTAAATCCCTGGCCCCAATTAACTGCTAATAAACAAGAATATAAAATAATATCTGACTGGAACTCACATTTTAAAAATAATGACATAATCACAAAAACTAAATGTAGGAAGCAGTGCTATGGAGCTGGTGCAGTGGTGCATGGCTGTAATGCCAAGTATTTGGGAGGCTGAGGCAGGAGAGTGCGAATCCTTACGAGGCCAGCCTGGACAACTTAGAGACCCTGTCTCAAAAGGGGGAGAGGGGTGCATAGTGGGTGTAGCTCAGTGCAAAGGCCCTGGGTTCATCCCCAGTACGGGGGAAAGGACAGCACTCATGTACTTGCAAAGAACCTTACTGCCTTTAATTTGCTGGCCCGCTTCATCTTTCCTTTCTTGCTGTCTGTATCCAGGTGGGCTCAGAGGGAAGAGGGATTTACATACAGTACGCCAATTAATTCACTGCACCGTCACAACTGCACTGTAGAAATTTTATTTTTTCCTTTTTTTTTTGGATGAGGAAACTGAGACTTTGTGATGTCAGATTACTTGTCATAGGTCACGAAACTGCTGCAGGGTACTAGAAATGGAAATGAATTACAAGTTTATAGGATTCCAAAAGCCGCATCCTTGATGCTCCATTACCTCGCCTCCCTCAGAGTTCTTCACAGAAGTAAGCAGACAAGCAAATTCATAAGCACACTTGCATTGATATTAAGTGGGGAGAAAACAAGCAAACCTAAACACATACGAACATGCAGCAAAACTATAAAGAAAAGCAAGGTAACGACAACTGCCGAACTTACGGTAGTAATACTTGTGGGAGAGAATTAGAGGCCATATAATTTTAAAAAGAAAAGAAATACAAGGAAAAATTACAAGCTTTAGAGATACAAACATGTCTTCAAAGTCAAATCCTATCACTTAGAAGCTCAGGCAGAATACTGTCCCACTTGAAAATTGAATTTTCTTTTTCTGTCCTTTTCTTTTTTCCCTCCTTCCCTTCCTCCCTTTCTTCCCCCTCTTCCTCCTTTTTCAGTACTAGGGACGGAAACCTAGGGCCCTTGCACTGAGCTATGCATCCTCAGCCCTTTTTCACCGTTTACTCTGAGGCAGGGTCTTGCTAAGTTGCTCTGGCTGGGCTTGAACTTGTGATCCTCCTGCCTCAGCTTCGTTTCTTCCAGGCACCATTGGCACATGGCTGTAATCCCAGCTACCCAGGAGGCTGAGGCAGAAGAATCCTAAGTTTCAGGCCAGCCTAGTAACTTAGTGAGACCCCTTTTCAAAATTAATAAAAAGGGGGCCGGGGATTTAGCTCGGTGGTTCTGGCACCTGCCTTGCAAGTGCAAGGTCCTGAGTTCAATTCCGGGTACAAAAAATAAATAGAAAGGGCTGGGCATGTAGCTTGCCTAGCATGCCCGAGGCCCTGGGTTCAATCACCAGTACCACTGAATACACACATACATTTGATCTTTTTTGTTATTGTTCTAGACAGGGCCTCACTATGAGGCTGAGCCAGAACGATAGCAAGTTCTAGCCCAGACTGGGCAACTTAGTAAGATTTTGTCCCCAAATTTTAAAAGGGCAGTGGATGTGGCTCAAGGCAAAGTCCCTGGGTTCAATCCTTAGTACTGCAAAAAATCTTTTAAAGTAAAACAACGTTGTGGTCATTAATTAGGGAATGATAACGGCCACCTCAGTGCCCTCATGTCCAGGGGGAGGGTAAGGGGACACGGGGGTCACCAGAGAGAGACGAGGCCTCCTCCTGTAGGGGCTGAGCTGTCTCTTCCCTTCCTGGACCACAGAGCATTCGCACCCTGAGTCTAGGCCACACCCCGTATGGCTCTCTATACATTGGCCTGTGCTGGTTTTTTAAAAAAACATTAAATAAGTCAGTAAACACAAGCACCAATAAGATCTGTCTGTTCTCAGTCCCTGTGGTTTGTCCTGAGGCCTCCTGAGCCTGAACGGCGGGTGGCCCAGGTACCGAGAGGGGCAGAGGGGCTGTGGTCCCACAAAACCTAAGCTAGGGTTGATGGCTACTCGTGCTCTTCAGCTCTTCCTTTCTCCAAATAAATCACCCTGGTTCTCTCTGATTCCCCTCAAGTCAGAAGAAACACACTCAGGAGCGACTCACGTTCACCTCTGCCAAGTGCCTCTCTATCCCACTGCAAAAATTCCTTTTGCTTTTTATCACAAGTTAATTTTACAAACTCTTACTCCCTGCTCTCTTTGTTCTTCTCTGAACTCCAGTCTGGAAGGATCCTCTACTAGATGTTCAGTAAATGCCACCTCTCTTCTGGAGCCCCCCTCGACACCCACACTGTATGACCCTACATTGTCCCCACAGATTTAAACAAAACAGGGATGTGATTAAAAACACATGCCATGGGCCGGGGATTTAGCTTGGTGGTTCCGCCGCCTGCCTCGCAGGCACAAGGACC